GATGGCCGTGTTCCTCCTGGCTCCTTAGGCGCTCACCCCCACCAGACCACAGAGCACCCCGTGTGTTTAGCAAGAGGGAAGGATGCACGTCTCCCCTCCCCCACCAATGCCCAGGTGCAGCAGCTGGGAGCAAAGGAACGGGGAGAGGGTTGGAAACAGCCAGTTCAGCCTCATTCTGCTGCTGCGTGGAGACAGACTGAACTGCAGCTCGGGCAGGTCCTGGAGCGATTCCCAGCAATACCAGATAGGGAAGCCCCAGGGAAGTCTGAATGGCAGAGGGCAGGGAGAGGAGAGACCGCGTCTCACTCCGAGAAGCCAGAGGGCGATAGGCACGAGAGCCAGTTTGCACGAGGAATGTAAATAATCGTTTCATTAGCTAACCAGTGAAACGACTCTAATTGTAACACTGAACCGGCCAAGCCTGGGTCACTCTGATACAGCTGGGGAGGGGAGGGTCCTGTCGGCCTGCCCAGAGTCGGACCAGGTCGGGGTCAGGGCATGGCTGGGGCCCCCACTGTCTGCCCCACGCAGCGGCACACATGCTACGAGCTGGCTCCCAGGGCTCACTGGATCAGGCTGCCAGCCCCACTGCGGTATCGATCTCTGCAGAGCCCGCAGGGCGGCAGCCGGCTCCCCAGGAGCGCACGCCGGGAGGGAAGAGTTTCACTGTAACAGAAACCAGCAAGCTGATGCGCATCAGTGAGCCATGCGAACGGTTAAACTCTTCCCTCCCTAGTTTATAGAGATTTAGGGCCAGAAGGGACCCTTCCAATTCGCCTGCCAGTGGCCTTTTCGGTAACTTGCCACCTTAGCCTGTCAGCTGGGCTGGCCTGGCCTGGCAATGCTTTCACCGAACTATACCCCGAAGTATCCAGCATTGACTAGCTACCCCAGGCACTGCTGACCAGCTCCATAGTCACACCCTTTGTTCACACCCCCCTGGGCTTCAGCTCCTTTGCTCTGGACACAGCGATCGCCTCTCAAGGCAGGAGTGCTCCGGTACCTTATTAATCAGCCCCACCTGGGCAGCACCTACCCTCCTTGCCCTGCCGGCTCAGCTCAATGACCGATTTGTCCAGAGACAGGTAGCGGTGGATATGAGCCGCTGCTTGTTCATAATCCTCATTCCTTAATGCCGTTTGAACCCCGTCCATGCAGAACTTCAGGTCCAAGATGTCATCAGCTCGCTGGATGGCTTGATAGAGGCGGTTCTGCAAGAAAACCAGCAGTGAAGAGTCCCCTTCTGGGGCGGGGGAGACGAGGGTATGGCCGGAAGGGAAGACGAGGCTACCAAAGATGATGGGGCTACTCAGAGCTGAGCAAAAAAATGCTTGAGTGAGCTCAAGTGCTGAGCGAAAAGCTTGAGTTGGAACAAATGACCTAAAAACTTTCCCAGGGCTGGAGCAGGTGTCTGTTGGAGGGGGGGAGGATAAGGCAGCCACTGAAGGTGAGTGTGGTCCCGCAGCGGCCTAAGGGGTAAGGCATCAGCCTAGCGAGCTGACCTTGTGTTTTCCAAACGGCCAATCTGTATTCCAGAATCCAGCCTTCTATTAAGTCCATCCAGCCAAAGTGCAGCTGGACCGGAAAAGCCACCCGTAAACTGCACAGAGGTGAGCACAGACTACAGGCGTCAGCCTGCAATACCCCACTTTGATGTGCGCAGGGGACTGCGCTGCACGCTGAAAGCTGGGATCTGTCATATCTGCCTCGGTACAAAGAAGATGGCAGCCTCAGACAACAGTCCGGGCCTCTGAGGTCCATGTCTACCTCCACGGTTTCAGCCTACTCCTTGCAGGACTCCAGGAGCGAGGTGGGGAGGAACGTTATCTGACCAGCCCACATAGACGGGGATTTCCCTATGTTTTGTGTATGCTGGTACTGCCTAGGATGTCCCAGGCCCCGCGCTAGGTGCAGTATACGCCCCGAACAAAACAGGGCTCCGTTTCAGCTCCTCTCTTCCACACGAGCGAAGAGCTCACACCCGTGTCTCAGCGGCTCACCCACACACAGCAGAGTGCGCTCCGCCCCAAGCTCCCCCCTTGTCCCGTTACCTTGGCAAGATCAAGCTGCCGAACTTTACTGCTGACGTTCTCAGCCAGGTTGCAAGTGAAGGTGATCATTCCAGCCAACTGCCTGGCGTCCCCCTCAATCAGCTGCAGGTTGGGCCTGGAGACAGAGGCAGGGACCATTGGTCACGCATGCAAAAAGCTGATACAAAGCAGCAGTGCATTCTGCCACGCGTATACACCCCTGCCCCTGCAAGCATCTGAGTCTCTCGCGCCTCAGGAACTGCGTGCATTCTGCCACGCGTATACACCCCTGCCCCTGCAAGCACCAGAGTCTCTCGCACCTCAGGAACTGTGGCTTCCTTTCCCTGAGGCTGAGCCAAATGAAAGAGAGCGAGGAAGAAGGCAGCAGCACATCCAGGCCTGCCCAATGGCTGTCTCCCTTGTAGAGGGGGCATAGTCAGAGTAATGAGCTGACCTTATGTTTTCTGGAACTGCCATGTATTCCAGAACCCAAGTATAATTGAGACTTGAACTCTTATGATCAGAAACAGAATGAACCAGAGGTAAGTAGATGCAGGGATGCCTGTCCAAGTCTCGACACCCTGAACCAGGACCGAAGAGGCATACCACTTCCATTCATATGAATGGGGTGTTGATTCTTAAACCTACTGTTAACAATTTGAATGTAATTTCTATTGACCATTTCTCTACTGATCAGTGCACGAGTGGGACAATTATGAAGAATTTCACAATCTACTGTGAATGGCAGCTCATTTTGCTGTCACAGATGGTTACAGCATAGGAGAAGTTCACTATCTCCCCCCAGCAAACTGATGGTCTAGTCATCTTTTTCATGGACCTTTCATTTCAAAGTGCTTTCCAGACAGAGAGTTGCTTCCTCAGACTGAAATGCAGCTTCTTTTGTAGTAGAAGGAAGCAGCTGCTGACCAGCGTAAGGCCACACTACACGGACGCAGCTGACATCCAGCTGAAGCTACGGTTTGCTCCCTTTTGTAACCAAAGTATCAGCCCAGGTGGTACTAGCTTTATCCCACAGGGTTAAACTGGATCACTAACCCCAGGCGATGAAGCGTGACCATCTTGCTCTCTACCGTGTTCTGTTGCTCCAGAAGCGCCTCCAGCTCTTCCACCACCCCTTTCTGGAAAAGAAAGCAGCCCTGTATCACATCGTGCCCCAGCAGGACTGGATCTGCCCTTCCGCTTGCCCCCATTTAATGGGTTAAACTTAATGGGATTTTACATCTCTAAACGCCACTAACTAAGAACCAAACTCTGTGCATCAAATCAGGTGCGTGTGTAATGCTCAACCTGGGGCCTCTGGAGCTTAGCGCAGGAACCTCTATGGCGTGGGCTAAAAGCCAGCTGGCTCCCAGCTAAGGCTGCAGAGCAAACTCCTCTCTCACTGTAAGTGGTCTAAATGCCTCTAGCTGGGACAGTGACCCATGCCCAGTAGGTGTGTAGGTTACACGTGAGCCAAGCAAGGCACTAAAGCTTCTGAGAGCTCACCTGCCAGTGCAACCCTTCAAAAGCCCCAATAGTCCATCCGAATCCAACTATATTTGCGCCCTGTCTATTTCCAAAGGCCAGTTCTGGGCGACTAAGCTGCCTAACATGAGCCAGTTAGAGTTCACCAAGGTGCTCCCAGATTTAGAAGAAGGGAATGCTGCAGAGGCAGTACAGTCAGTCAGGGCTGGAACAGATGGTCAAGGAAGCATTTAACGTTGTTCTATAGCAATCTTTCCTAGCCCCCGAATGAACTCCTGGCAAAGAGACATTGGTCTTTTTGGTCAGAGGCTTTATCGCCATCACATCGGGTGTAAAGGGAGCAGGAGTATTTGACTAACGTGACCACGGCTGCACTAGAATCACCTGAACAGAACAAGCGGCGAGGAGTCCTGTGGCACCTTATAGACTAACTGAAGTGTTGGAGCAGAAGCTTCCGTGGGAAAAGACCCACTTGGCCAGATGCATGCAGAACAGTTTGGAAAACAGCTGGTCTGTTGATTTTGGAAGGTTGAGTCTTCCCATCCCTCCCAAAGGAAGCCAGAGATATTGACAACTAGAATCACCTGAACAGAACAAGCGGCGAGGAGTCCTGTGGCACCTTATAGACTAACTGAAGTGTTGGAGCAGAAGCTTCCGTGGGAAAAGACCCACTTGGCCAGATGCATGCAGAACAGTTTGGAAAACAGCTGGTCTGTTGATTTTGGAAGGTTGAGTCTTCCCATCCCTCCCAAAGGAAGCCAGAGATATTGACAGTCTGGCAGAGAGGAAGGGCCAGGGGGGGGGGGGCAGGAGGACCAAGGAGAGGGTGGGCCAAAGGGTGTGCCATCTCGTGGGG